CCTTTTTACACCTCCCTTTCTTCACGTGCCATTCCACATTATTACAAATAACTTCATTTCTGGACATTTATGGTTTGATTACATTTGTATGTATGGATCACTTGGGTTGTTACCGACATCTGGTGAAAATTTCATGTCATTAGCACCTCTATTAATATATTTACTGAGAAAAATGGTGACGTGTTCAATACTTATTTTACCCTCTGTATTTTCCGGTATTTCCTCAGTCTGATTATGTTAGGATCTGTTCGTCTTTGTGTCCATCTTGTGTCTACTCCCTGTGTTCTACCTCAGTTTCTGCCTCTCAGTGATTTTCTCAGTTCTCCTACACCTGTCTTTACCCAGCAKTTTCCTTTTTCTACCCAAACCTGTTGTATTTAACCATTTTCTTGTCACTACTTCTTGTCTGCTCAGTGGTTTGTCCTGATACTTCCTCGTGTTCCCAGTCTTGTTATTTTGTTAGTTGTCGCCACAATGGCTTTTCCTTTAATAAATACTTTTTACTTTGACTCCTTTTTGGGTCTGATCTCACTGCCAATACTACAGCTTACTGGTTGTTTGTTTTCTTTCTTTTTATTTATTTTTTGTTTGTTTRTTTGTTTGCTTCCAAACCCTTGTTTGCCAATCGTCACATGTCGTTTTGTCACAGAGTCTCTAGTTTTCACTTTCTCCTCATTAGATTCTTGCTTTCCTCGTGGGTTTTCTCTCAATCACTGCTCAGTTTGCTAAAATTAAACTTTGCAGTGCTCTAAGCTTTTATCTAAACACAGTTTTTGCAGATTTTATTTAAGTAATAGTCTGGTGAATAAATAAAAAAAACAGATAGAAAAATAAAGTTAGGTCACCACCTATTAAAAACTATGCAGCAGTAATTAAGAAGCATCGGTTTTCTGCATTAAAGCAAATGAAGCCCTAAAAGTTGAAACCTAAAAGCTACATGTGCTCAAATATTTTCAAACCATCTTGAATGCTGTTTACATCTGGAGAGTACGGTGGTCCTTAATGATTTGAAAGCGTTTTTTCTTATGTTTGGATAATTAGTTTGCTATGGAGTAAGCTTTGAACCGAGTTTGCTTAGATTGTTATTCATACCCACATCCCACCTTTGCGTACCTGCCTGTCATTTTTTTGCATGTTGAGATATGTTGATGTAAGAAAATATGTTACCTTTGCCTTTTTAACACTAGAACTACCCGAGAGGGGCCAAGTGAGAATCTTCCTCTAAGTACCAGAGAGGGGCCAAGTGA